GGGTGGGGGCGGGCCCGGGGGAGGCGGGGCCGTGGCCAGTAGCCCGGTGGAGGGCGGGTGTGGGGCAGCTGAGTATGTGGAGCCAGCTGAGGTGGGGAAGGAGGGCTGCATGGGGACCTGGAGGGGGCTCACAAAAGCAGTTTGTGCTGATGGAATCATGGGGGGTGGTGGAGGTGGCGGTGGTCCTGATGGGTTGTAATATTCGATGATCTGTGCTGGCAGCATCCTGATAAAGATACGAAACATACAGGGTCACTAGAGTAAGAGCCGAGGGGCTCGTCCTCTGAGTTCTGCTGTGCCCAGTGGAGGAGTGTCCCCTAGATACAACACATACTGCCAACGGAATTTAAGTCACGCAGGATGCAAGTATCCACACGTGGGTCACTTATTTCCACAGTTCTACGTTTTTCATTATGATGGAATTCATGACCTTCTACTAAGTTCCAAAGAAAAGAGGACCTCTCAAAAAGTGAAGCCGTTTTCTGTGGAGAGCTACAATGAAGAGTGGACTGCAGAGGTCGGGAGAGCAGCAATGATCACCCTTCGTACTGGGCTTCTCAAAAGCAGGGGCTCATGAACTTGCCCTATACGGATTCTGTGGCCAGCCAGCCTGGGAAAAATCCTAGATTCTCTAGCCCGCCCCCATGGAAATTCCACATGCCCTCGGGAGAGTCTCAAAAGCTTTGAAAAGTCCCACAGCCAAGAAATCTGCTGAATTCTATCCAGCCAAGGGTTTTCCAAACCAACTAGACCATGGACAGGCACTCTCTTCGCTGGACAGTAACAACTTCAGAACCCACTGGGAATCCTGATTTAAGGAAGCCCAACAAACAGACTCTCCGGGACTGTGTGATCAGGAAGCAAATCCCTGAAAGCCAAGGGACATAGATTTGGAAAGTGATTCACTCTGCCCTGGGCTGAAGAATACACACATTAACAGAGGCATATATATTCAACTTTCCTGGGCACTGACTCAGAGGGGATGAACTCTTTAAAAAGTAGGGTTAAGCCAAAAAACAGAGGGCTAAAGACAACCTATCAAAATAAAGGTGGGTGCTCAGAATGATCGACACTTGAACAGATCTTTTGTAGGAGGCATTTAAATTCTACCTGGAAGACATGAGGGCCTGGGGCAGAATGTTGGCTAGGTGCCCAGAGGTTAAGAAAGGAGATTACAGGGCCAAGCATAAGAAAGGACACACAGGAGCTGTGTTCCGTGGTTTTCTCATTTGTGATGTGAATTCCCTGGGGTCCACCCAGGATACACAGAGAAACTTGGGCGTTTGGAACAGGCTCACATAATCCTCATTCCACCCTTTACCAATGTCTTGCCTTAAAGATCCATTCAAACGCACATAAGTGTGTGTATCGAGGGAGTGCACACACATGAGCACAGACAAACCTGAGATTCAGCTGTAATAAAAAGGGAGAGTAGCACGATGCTACTTTATTTCACTTAGAAGAGGTCATAACTGATAGTATGACTATTCGGTCATTCTTGACTGTATTCTGGCCTCTAAAATATCACAGTTAAAATTCTTCTACCACGCACAGCAAGATTCAAATACAAGAGCAAGTAGGGATTACAGCACAAGGAACACTGACTTACCCATAGTCTGCTGGAGCCATGGGTGCAGAGGCCTGGGACCCCTCTGGGGCCTGGGGGGGAGGTGGGGGTGGTGGCTGCTGAGGTCTGTTCAGGGCCATGTGCCTGGCTGAGGCAGAGGGGGGCCGGTACTCATGCTCAGGGGCCTGGCTTGCAGGCCCATGTGGTGGTGCATCAGCGGCTGCATAGGAAGGGGTCACCGGCTGGGGGTGCAGAGAGTGGTTGGGAGTAGCCGGATAAGAGTAATCTGTAACATCCGATGCATGGGACCTGACAATCAAGGAAAAGGGTGGGGGAAATTTAAGTTCAGGAAACTTCCCCCAGCAGGAGTAAGTGTATATTTGAATAATAGCATTGCCAATGTACAGAAATCAGACATGTATTTCCTTTACTATCAACGAGGTCTGGCCCCATGAGAGCTCCCGAGCAACAACATAATTGCTATTTTAGCAGCAAGCCCCAGTGTTACATGGACTCAGATTCACAGCTTTGAAGTAAGTCAGACAGATCAGCAAGCAGGAAAGAGCAGAGCCTCATTTTCACGGTATCTCAGCACACTTTTCCTCTAAGAGAGAAGGCTACAAGAGAAATCCCATTTAATTTAGAAATAGCATCTTAGACACACAGAGGATTTCAGCGGCAATGAAACTGACAGCATATAATTAGAAAATATAAAATGGCAGGTGAACTGGATAAATATTAATAGTAAGAACAGAAAAAGAAATCAAGAATGCACTGTCGTGAGTTATATTTTTCTTAAACAGAAGACATGTATTTAGTCATGGGGAAGCAGCAGCGCAGTGCGCCATGGCCAGGCCCTCCTGTTTTCTTTGAATGCACAGCTGAGAGCGAAACTCTGAAGGGAGTGGGAATTTTGTATTAGTTGAGCGGAGTTCAGAAAGATGCTGGGGAGCTGGGAGCCAGCTAAGCCCTCGGGAGGAGCGTAAGGACAGGGGCACGCAGCACCGTGGGCATTAGTAACGACTGTCACGGCCCGCCCAGGTTACAGAACATGTGGTCAGTAGGGGCTGCACATTGGTCATAACAGCTGAAGCAGGGGTGGCCTGAGCTGGGAATCCAGGAGCAGCGACGTGACACACCCTGTGGGCCTCCTGGCCTGCTCCGGGCTTCTGGCCTGCTCCGGGCTCCTGGCACCACTCATAAACTCAATGCCCATTTTCCTCCGCTCCCACTCTTCTTTCCTCGTTCTCACCTTCCTCACGCTGACTTGCTGGTTTCTGTTAGGACTCGGCTTGTGCTTCTCTCTCTGAAGGAAACATGCAAACACACACACGAGGGGTGGAGGGGGCGGGAAGACACACGCTGGGCTCTGCTCTCCAGACAGCGGCCTTCCTTCACTGCAGCACGTGGCACGGAAAAGCTTGCTAAGCGGGAAGAGACTTTTTTTTTCCTTTTTTCTTCCCTAATTGCAGTATAATAACTAATAACTCATTTTTCTCTTCCCTAATTACAGAATGAATTCTAGATTATAGTGTGCTTATGATTATGTTTGTTTTTTTGTTTTTTTGTCTTTTTCGTGACCGGTAAGGGGATCACAACCCTTGGTGTGGTGTTGCCCACACCGCGCTCAGCCAGTGAGTGCACCAGCCATTCCTACATAGGATCCAAACCCGCGGTGGGAGTGTTGCTGCGATCCCAGCGCCGCACTCTCCCGAGTGCGCCCCGGGGTCGGCCCATGATTATGTATTTTTAACTATGCAAACTGCTAGCAAATGAGTTAAAAATTTTTTTAGTAGGGGAAGAACCTCCCATTTATTCATTCGTATTTACTATATTTTAAAGTAATTCAATACCTAACACTCTGAAGCCTCTGGTGACATTTGCTGACTCTATGTGCATGACTGTGTGTAACAGGCTGTGTGTGTTACTTTCTAAAGGAAACAGTCACTAAGCAAGCCTGGAGCACTTCTGATGGGATGAGGGGCAGAGAGCTGTAACTGCTGGGCATAACTGGGGATGCTGTCCCTGTGAAGTAGCTTTGTGACACAGAGCCAGAAGGAACCAAGAAGAGGAGGAGTGGACTCGCCAGGTGGAGGCAGAAGATAGGAAAAGGTGATGAATGTCGGAAGTAAAAATCAGAGCAGAAGGGTGGCCGCCATGGGCACAGGGGAAGGGAGAGGGCACTGGTCAGTTGAAGAGGGAAGAACTACAGAAAAGGGGGGACATCAGGAGGCATGGGGAGTGGGGCAACTGCTGGGAGACAGAGACTCTGGTGGAAAGGCAGAAACCAGACAGGGACACGATGCCAATGTGGAGATGAGCAGGGAAGGTTCTGGAGCTTCATGGTGGTCAGGGACCACCTGGTATAAAAAGGGGGACCGGTAGAGGTGAGGACGATACTGCAACAGGAGGGAGAAAGTGCAGTGGTGAGTCTCAGTGGGAGAGTCCCACAGACTCCCCAGGGCTTTAGGGCAGGCAGGCGGCAGAGTTGGCAAGCTGTAATAGGGCCAGAATTGGATGAGAAGGAACAAGAATGCTGGCATGGAGGCACAGCACTTCCCGAGTAACGAGCTGGGCTGGTCACACGCAGACAAACGTTTCATCAATCCCCATCTAAAATCCACACTGAGCAACAAACCAGTCCTTAACAATCTACAGAGAGAGCGCAAAAGTTTAAGATGAGTTTACGCAGATTAGGTTAAAGTATACTACTTACAGGAATGGCTTATCTGTATGCCATTTGGTATTTAAATTTCCTTCAGGATCTTGAATACACTCACACTCACAATCTTGAATAATGTCACAAGAATTAAAACATTAAAAAACATGTTTCTAAATAATACTTAAAACATGAGATATAATTTTAAAAAGTCAAAAGATAGAAAACACAGCATGATTCCAATTTTGTAAAAGAAAAAAATCACAAATGTTTATAGAAAAAGACTAAATAAAAATACATTAAAATGGAAACAGTGGTTTCTCTGGATGTGGGATTATGAATAATATTTAATTTTAACTTTTTCTATAATTTTCAGATATAGTAAGCACGTTTTCATAACAAAAAAGTGACATACTTTAGTAAAACAAAAAATAAAAAATTTAAGTTAATTTGAGGGATATAATTCAAGTACAATGATGAATTATAATCTATTTATCTGTTAGTAAATAATGTGTGTAAATTATGAGACACCACAGGAAATAGTATGTGACGAGAAAAAATCCTAAAGAAAAAAACTTACGATTGTATTTGCTTTTTGAAATAATAAGAGAAATGAAGATATATCCAAACAACATAAACATAAAAGCAGAATACTAAAAAATCTGAATGACTATCAATTTTATAGCCAACATCGAAAAATCTAATTTCAGATGCTAGAATGAACATCAATCATTCTATTGAGGGATTAAAAAAAATCCATTTCCCATCTGTATCTGTTAAAAAGTATACATGGGATAAAAATAATATATGTTTTGTATGAGTAAACTATTTGGGAATAAAAGCCACAGCAAATTGACACCATGGGAGCAATTAAATTCACATATTCCTCCCACCCAAAGAACGACAAGCAGAACTGTACCATCATTCTTACTTTCCATAGACATAAACTGACATTAAAATTCAAACTCAGTTAAAACTCCCATAATTCTCTAATACTTAAAAGATAACAGCCTGTACAGAAAAATTACCTAGAACTTGCCTACATCCTACCAATGACTTACACACCTTCTGGGGTAGGAACATTTAAGGCACTGTAACTACCAAATAAGTTTGTCATTCAGCAAATATTCATTTAGCACCTTCTATATGTCAGAGTCTGTGCTAAATACTGAGGTTACAAAGGTAAAAAGGAAAAACCGAAAGGACGCACAGAACACAAGGTCAGGTTACTGCTGTTGTTGAAACACTCTGAATCACATATTATAAAAATTATTCAAATTTTTACATGCTGACAGAAGACCTTAACGGTTTATGCAAATGGAAGACTACAACTTCACAAAAGTAGACTAGAAAATTAAACCAAAAGTTAAAATTGACCAGTCAGTTCCTGTCACTCAGTGAGCCTCTTTTGTGACAAATGTGACTTAGTGACCCCATCACTCACACCTGCAAGAAATACTTTTACTGAATGCTGACAAGTTTTTAAGGTAAACTTGAATGGAATTCTTCTCCTGAAATTACAATACATAAGATTAATTATTTGAAGTAAGAAATGTTCATTAATTTTTTGAAAGAATGTCAAAAAGAACAATGAAGGTATCCTCAGTCATGTTAATTACCACCTACTAATCATTTTTAGATGCCAAGTGGCAAAGGAAATTCAACATTCCAAGCTAAGATAAAGAGAAAGGATTAAATGATTATTAAGATAAAAATTTAAGTCATTGGCGGTTACCCCAAATTCAGAATCGATATTTAAACACTCCATCTCGATTAACTGAACAATAAATTTAAGTCAGAGAAATTTTTTAAAAAGAAAAAAAAAAAAGAGAGAGAGACACAGAAACCTATTGTAAAATAACACTGCCTTAAAGAATTATTTCAAAATCAAAATATATAAAAAAATTTTTAAGGAAAGTTATATGGCCTCCTATTGGTGGCCATATAAACCCCAAAGCTGCTATGCATTTCCAGCTTATAATAAAAGCAGGCTGCACCCAGTGGCCCAAGGCATCGGGGATCAGGGAACTATGACACACACACACCTAGTGTCTGGGGACAGGGATCCCTCGGAAGACGCGCCGTGGTACACGCTCTGAGACAACCTGTTGTCGGGTCTAAGCTCTTTGTCATAGGCCATCATATTCCACTCCTGGCGCCTGTTTCTGGCTTTTCTAACCTTTTTCACCTCACGGGTGGTGCCATCTACACGCTTTTGTTCCTGATGTCCCGGAAAAGAAAGAAAGCATGCCAAGACAGAAGGGAAAGGAAAACAGCAGGTTAAATGCGATTATAATGCACAGAAAACAAGCCTGATGTATGACAGACACTCACAGTTCAATTACCCTAATGTTAAGAAAATCCTAAAACAGCTTACTCCTCCTACTCAGTCTTCCCAACAAAAAGTAATTGATACTTAGGTCTTCAGTCTAAATAAACAAAAAGTTACTGTGCCACCACTACTAGAGCTGCTTACCGTCGTTTCTGGTAAAGAACTCTCAGCTCAGCAGGCTGTGGCTTGTCTGAAACGCACTACACCTTTTGATCTCTATCGTACTAGTGAAGTGTCTGGCAACACCACACAGAGAAATTACTTCTCACCACTTCACCAGTTTGACTTAACACATAATTATCTTTCAAAGAAAATAATTCAAAATATTCTATTCCCAATTTCTAAAAGATTGTTAAAGAATATTTAAGCTAATCCTGAAATCAGCTTCACATGAAACAAAACAAGATAAAAACTTACCTTCACATACAAAGAACCATTCTTGCCCCAGCCCTACTAGGCCAGTGAAAATGTATTCAAAAAATACTTAGACCCAACAGCGGTACTTTCTCAAGTGTGAGGACAGTTATTCCTATGTGTGTCTATGAGTTCTCCCCACTCCGCTCATGAGACTTTATCACCTTTAAGGATGAGAGCTATGAACAGTTACTTCCTGCACTTCCCTTTCATGGTACCTCAAGGTTGGTCCTGCTTTACGTAGAGCACACGTTCAGGAAATGCTGGTTAAGTGGTCAAATCCACAGCCAAGCTACAAGCACGAGCTGCTAACCCCAGGCATCGTGCCAGGCACTGATATCTCAAATAGCAATAAACAAACAAAAAAGACACAGTCTCTGCCCTCGTGGAGCTTGCAATCCAGTAGGGGAAGCCTACAAGATGATGCAAATAAATGTATGCTTACAAAAGGTGGTAAAATGTAAGTGTATTTATATTTTAGAATATATTTATACATATTTAATGTTTTTATATATTGTATTTATAAATTATTTATGTATTTTAAACTGCTGTCTACTCTGGAAGTCTGGGAGGTGTGGTGGAGTGACTGGAGACACTGTCTGTAGCAGGAGCAGGCATAATCCTGCAGAGGAGTACGTACGGGTTAGACACACGCCAAGAGGAGGGGGCAGAGTGTGCGATGCCTCTGAGGAGGAAGGACAGCACTGCATTAGAAGAAATGAAGAAAATAAATGGTAAATTGGGGTGACTGGCACAAAATCTGACAGGTAGGCAAGACCTTGAAGGTCATGCTAAAAATTTTTTCTTTATGCCAAGAGCAATAGGAAACCACTGAAAAATGAGAAGGTAGGGTTGACATACTGAGGAGGCACTTGAAAAAGTCCCTCTGTGTTGTGGAGAACAGATTAAAGGGGGAAAGACAGGGACATCAGTTAGGAAGCTACTAAGATCTAGGGGAAAAGAAGGCAGATGGCTCAAGGGAGGGATGAAGACAGAGAGCCAGGCTGTTTTCAGAGGTATTCAGGAGGCTCTGGTAATGGATCGGCAAAGGACATGAACGCAAAATTCACAGAAGATACAGAAATGGTTGTCAAGGATATGAAAAGATGCGTAATGCAGATTAGAATGCGGGGGGGGGGGGGGGGGGGGGGGG